GGGTTTAGGGTTTAGGGTCATCTATGGTCACGGAAGCGATACCCTCCACCAGGTATGTAAGGATGCCATCTGGGTAGGAGATTTTGGTTTCAGAGTCTTTGGAGTGCATAGTGTAGGGTGCAGGGAGCTAGGAATTTTCGGGCTGTTGACCAGGCTGCCGCACAATCTTCCCGTGACACTTTCCCAAAACAGGAGCAATTGGCCAGTTTAGGGTTTAGGGTTTAGGGTTTAATATCCGCTTGTTTTCCTTTTACAGCTGTACGATACTGTGCCCCTCTATGTTTTTTCAGCCCTCCTCCGTTTGACCTGTAAAAGCATGCCTTGAGCAAATAACTACTCAGATTGGCCTTGTGCAACATTGCAAGGGCCTCGTAGAACCTCGAAGACTCTTCTTCAATCTTGAGTCACCAGGTTCTGCAAACCCGAAACCCTAAACCCCTAACCCCTAAACCCTAAACCCTAAACCCTCAGGTTCCGTAAGTATTATAAAGAGCCGACAGCTTCGAAGCGCAGCCCCAAAAATCCAATGACCCTCGTGTTAGCTGGAGATGTTGGGCCGGCACAAAGCAGGAGCTCAAGAAAGAAAGCCCAATAACCGTGGCTCTCCGGATCCTAAGCCCAAAGCCCTAAGCCCTAGACCCTAAACCCTAAGCCCTAAACCCTAAACCCTAAGCCCTAAACCCTAAACCCTAAACCCTAAACCCTAAACCCTAAACCCTAAACCCTCCTTTTCTTGCAAACCTCCTTGAGAGGTTGGCGGAATGACGCTGGCATCGGAGGAGAAGAGCCTCAGCGAGCAGCGGCTCGGAGAAAGGTTAAGGCCTTTGGCGTTCGGTTTTAGGGTTTAGGGTTCAGGTTTTGGTTTTGGGTTTAGGGTTTAGGGTTTAAAATTTAGGATTCAAATTTTATTTAATTTAGGGTTTAAACTCAATGAATTTAACGTTTTTGGGGTGTTTTTTGGTTTTAGCATTTAGGGTCAGGGTTAATTGCGGTGCCTGGTTTTGTGAAGTGTTTATATGGGCTTCGTTGGACGAGGGTATAGTGGTTCATAAGGGTTTATACGTATGAGGGGTCGTAACTTTGAGGTTTTGCGGTGCTTTTAGCCGAGAAGTCCGAGTCTTGAAAGGGTTCCCTAAACCCTAAACCCTAAACCCTAAACCCTAAACCCTAAACCCTAAACCCTTAGGTTGTGCTCGGTTTACCCTAAACCGTAAGGAGGTGTTGACAGCATTCCTCAGCCTGCGGCTCGCTGCTTGAACTACTGTTGATGATATAGATCCTGCATTGCCTTAGGGTTTAGGGTTTAGGGTTTAGGGTTTAGGGTTTAGGGACCCTGAACTATGGGAGTTATGATTTTAAACGCTTCGCGGCGTCCGCCTCGGCCCGGCCGCAAACAAAGAGCAACGAACCTGGTGCTGAAGGCGCCG